TATAGAATGATCCCAGGAAAGATAACTAATTAGAGTCTTCAGATTCTGACAGGATATGACTGCTTATAGCTAAGGTTTCCTTTATACTAGTCACTAGTATGATGATAGTGACTAGTATCGATGATAGTGACTAGTATGAAGAAATCTTTTCAGTCAGTTTGACAGTAGGGAAAAGTTGACATTAAAAAACTATATCCTTTCATTTGAAATGACAATCAATAATAGGAATTAGTAGAAAAGTGATTCACATGCCACTTCTGTGTCAGAATTACCTGAGTTGTTTTACAACTACAGAGACTTGGCTCTACCCCTGGAGATTGAGATTCATTTCACTAGGGATGAACATATACATTAGTATTTCTTTAAAATTCCCTACACGATTCTGATGTGCAGAAAGAATTGAAAATCTATTTTAGGACCTAAACATAAAGCAGCTTTTTCAGCTCTTTGAAAAATCTTTCCCCAGGAATAGAGCTGTTCTTTCCACAGAATTTCCTTATTGTCTGTTAACTGGATTGTTACAATATTTACCTATCATAGTATAGGTCAGGTTTCATCACAAACTGCTTGGTAGTAATTCACAATCTTCAGAATTGAATCAAGATTTTTTTTATAGAGTTGAATTAAAATTATATTTTGAGCCAGCACTTGGGAGGCTGAGGCAAGAGGTTCAAGCTAGCCTGTGCAAGTATAGTGAGTTTTAGGCCATCCTGAACTACGCAGCAAGACCCTGTCTCAAAAAGAAAAATTGTATTTTGACACAAAAGTCCCTTTAAATTCCATCAATGATGAATTAAGGTGCTGTATTTTTCTAAATTTATATGAGCTTCAAATTACCATATTTTGAAGATATGCTTCTTGAATGTTTTCTTATGTTAGATATTACTATTGTTGTTTTTGAATTATCAAACATTATTTGGGCTCATCAAAAGGAAAAATATGAAAAAATTTGTTGTTCTACTAAAAGTACTCTTAAGTACTTTTATTAATACTTAAGTACTCTTATTTATATTTCCCCAGTGCCTGGAACAGAGCCTGAAGCAGTGAGTGAATAGGCACTCAGTATATTTTTTGCCAAATGACTAGACAATTTCTTAAATCTGTGTTAACTTTGGGAAATTTGTATACAGAAGGATTTTTTGAGGGGGAAGGGGGTTTGGTTTTTTGAGACAGGGTCTCTTGTAATGCAGGTTGGCCTTGGGCTCACTTTGTAACCCAGGCTAGCCACAAACTTGAGGTGATCCTCAGCCTCCTGAGTGCTGGGCTTACCGATGTATGACAGCATGCCTGGCCTTAGAAAACAAAGTTCTTTTTAACTGATATTTTCATTTTTTGTTAACCTGGGAACTATTTTTTGGTTATATGCTAGATTCTGCTTTAAATGCTGCAGAAAACAAAACTGAAGAGCCTCTTCTGTCATGGAACTCACATTTTAGGAAGGGGCGATCTTTTTTAAATGTAACAGGCATCATATTATTTTCTGGTGATACACGCTTTTCCCTTTCCCAGTTTATTCTACTTTCTTCCTAGAAATAGAAAAAGGAAATGGTACTGAGAAGAGAAAAAGTTATTATTTTAAAGAGACCACTTAGGTTGGACATGGTGGCATGCACGTATGATCACAGAATTTGGGAAGCTAAGGCAGGAGGATTGCCAGGATTTTAAAGCCAGCCTGGGCAACATAGTTGAAGGTCAACCTGAACTACATAGTGATACCTTGTCTCAAAAAAAAAAAAAAAAAAAAAAAAAAAAAAGGTGCCTAAGGAAGACCTCATTGAGAAAGAGCCATTTATGTAAAGATCTAGCAAGTATGGGAGGAAACTGTTGCTATCTCTGAAAATCTCCCTCAGATAGAGGGAGCAGCAAGTGCAAAATCCTGAAGAGAGGATTGGGCCTTGGATGGTCTCAGAATATTTAACATGTTAGTAATCTTGGAGAAACAGGCAAAGGCAAGAGCAAAAAAAATTTTTGTTGAGGGAGTGTGGGTAAAGTGTTTATAGGTCATGTATAACCATTGCAGTTCTTTGACTCAGAGAAAGACTGAGAATAGTTGGTGGGTTCTGAAAAAAACAATGTCTTGCCATGATCCAGTACCTTTCCTTAACAGTATCATTCTGTTTGCTGAGTTAAGAATTACAGATAGGCAGAAGCAAGGAGACCATTTAGGCTTTTTAGGTAATCTAGGCAAGAAAGATAGAAGCCAAAATGAAAGAAAGCAGTGGAAGTAGTTTTTTAAAGTCTTAAAAAATAAAATAAAATAATAAGTCAGATTGTGCTTTTAAGATAGAACCATCATGATTTGATGACTGGACATGGGATATAAAGAGACAAATTTAGCCATAAGAATTTTTGACTGAGCAGCTGGATTCTGAAAGGATGGGACAGCCATTGACTGGTACCAAGATGTAGATATCCGTAGGCAAGTTGACCATTTCTTATAGAAATCTGAATTCAAGGAAGAGGTTCAGATAGAGATAATACATTTGAGAGTTGCCAGTACATAGTTAACTTAATATTTAATGCTTTGAGAATAACTCCAAAGTGGAGCAGTATTTATAGAGGAGAGAAGACACCTAACAGAAGAGGACCTGGGACTATCTAGTGTTAAAAGTTCTGAGAAGGAGTGCCAGTGAAAGAGGTGAAAATGTCCCACAGAGAAGGAAATGATCCACTCTTGTCAAAATACTACTGATAGATTAAGATAAGTCAATTGGATTTGGTATTATGGATGTCTTTTATACATTTAATCCTCAAAAGTTCTGAAAGGAGATATTACTGTCCTCGTTTTATCAAATTTTTTTTAAAAGGCAGGGTGTGGTGGTATACAACTGTAATCCCAGCATTTGGGAGACTGAGTAAGAGAATTGCTGTGAGTTCAAGGCCAGCTGGGCTATTTAGCCAGTATGAACCATATAACACGACCCTATTTCAAAAAAAATTTTTTTATAAAAAGGTTTCAGCCCTCAAATAACATGTCCAAGACAAAACATTATCAAGCAACATATTTAAGTATTAATCCCATATCTGTCAGACTATTAACACTATATGTATATATTTTGTTCATTTGTTTTTGAGACAGAGTCTCAGTATGTCATTCAGGCTGGCCTTGAACTCACTATGTAGGCCAGGCTGGCCCTAAACTCATAGCAGTTATTGCTATATTTTTTTAATTTTGAAAAATACTTTAAACTATGGAGAATAGATTTTAATATTTTCTAAAATTTTATTCAGATATACATTCTTCAATAAAAAATAAAAGTTAATTCATTAATTCAAAAATATTAATTAAATGTCCTCTGGTTGCCAGTTACTTATTCTATAATACTTGGGATAAATAGATAAAGAATGCAAAGATTCCTCTCCTTGGATGAAAGAAAACAAGTAATAAATAATACGTTAGAAGATGAAAAGTGTTAGAAAAGGAAAAATAGAATAAATGAGTTGGAAGTATTGAGTTCGGAGGTGAGGGGCAAGTTATATTTCTTTCATAGAGCAGCCCAGGCAGTCCTTATTACAAAGAGAACATACAAGGAAATTCATATGAAGGAAGAGAGAGACAGTGACGTCTCCTTTATTTCCTTTCCTAATCCATTCTTTTCTCCATAGAAGCGACTTACACTGTGAAGTAAATGTGCATCTTTTTTATACTATTTTTATATTGTCCATTTACAGTATTTAGTGTTAACTGTATTTATATAAGCATTGTCATACCATATTTGCTTTCTCTCACTCAGATTAGGAGCAAAACGTAAATCTAGATCATTTTAACTATTCAGTAGTTTATGAAGTGTCACTACTATTTACCCGTTACAAGTAGTATTGTCTTCTATGCATTTCCTTATGCACAAATAAGAGGTTTTAGGTTTATATCTAAAATTAAAACTGTTGAGTATTCATATATATTTTTCAGCTTGCTAGAAATGGGCAAATTGTTTAAATGCTCTCATCAACAGTATGTTAAGGATACTATTCCTATTGCCTTCATATTGTGACTCAGTGATGTTTTTAAATTCTTTTTGAGAAACTAAAATGTTTGTAATATTTTGTTGTCATCAATGGTTAAGTAATAGATTTTTCTGAAACTTAACTTTTCACTAATAAACATGTCCTTTCCTCACTGCTGAAACAAAATACTCAGCACCCAAAGTTAAAGAGGAAAGTTTTATTATAGTTCACAGTTTGTGAAAGTGGCAATTCGTAGTTGGCTGACTCCCAGACAGGATGGCACGGTAGAGGGGTATCACAGAGGGAAACACTCCATGGTGGGAAAAAAAAGTAGCAAAAAGTCAGCTGCCAACATCCCTTCTTTTTGTCTCTTTATGTCCATCTATGCTACCTGCCCTTTGGGTGGTGCCATCCACACCCAGGATGGTCCTTTCCATTATCCACACCAAGAACTATACTAGACCAATCAGTAGATTGATACAGTAATCACACACCCTTAATGACATACTCTAGATCCAGCCACCTCTGAAAAGCTCCACATATGACCACATAAGGCTTTGGGAGGCTCATCTACATACAAACCATAATAAAGACTGTTATTATAATTTATTAAGCTAACTTTCATTTCTCTAAATTATGGTTTATCTGATGACATCCTAATTATAAAGATGCAAAAGACAAATTAAAATCAGAAATTACTTAGCTTCAATAAAATGTTTGATTGGGGAAAGCATAGAGAATGTTGTTACAATGTGTATGTGTGTTGTGTATTGTAATAAATCTTGTAGCTTAGTTTCCCCCATTGTTCCTATATTTCTCTGTTATTTTAATAGTACTATTATAAATATAGCATATAAGTAGGGCTAGAATACTTTCTTGAGTGTTATCAGATACAGAAAAAAGAGCCACAATTCTATACTACTTTTTCCAGGTAAATAGATACTTAAAAAGTATTTCTTATAAAATGTGATATAAGTTGATTTCATCCAGAAATAAAAGATTTTTTTGTTTAAATGTAAAAATCCTTGAGTAAATGTTATATTACTGTCTTTCAGATTAACAAATAGAAATATTATACACAATCCTGTAGAATGGACTTTAATTGCAGTGGTGTTGCTGTCATTGTAAGTACTTTTTCAGACTTCAGCTCTAAATACTATATATGAATTTTGGTTAAGGAAAAAGTTATTTACTGACTTTTTAAACTTGGAATAAATATTGTACCTTTATTTTTCCTTTCTTATATGACAAAATAATTTTCATTTAAAGTGATATGCTGTGTTTTGATAGGCTATAATCATGACCTTTATATTTTTACTATCATTTATTCTGAAGATCCAGTTCTTCACAAATAATATTTGAAAGAGAAGAATATCCCCAAATGTGATATTTACAGAATACTCTTAGTTTCATTTTTAATAGTCTATTTATATTTAACAGTGAGTGAACTGATTATCTTATATCTGTATTTTTACATACCCAGTACTTACTTAATTTTTCTTTATCTTTGATACAGTCAGAAAAGCATTATTTTCTAATTAATGTTCACTTTAAAATCTAACATATTTGAACTAAAACAAATACTACATAAGCATACATAAAACATTTAATACTCATTCACCTTTTAAGAAACCACTAGCGGTTTCTAAAGCTATTTTTCAATAAAGTTAAAGCCACTTAATAAATGTAGTGTTTTTCAGGTTGGATTGCAAAAATCTTTTGAGGACCATTTATTATTGCATTACTGTTGTTACCTGGTGCTTGTTAGGTCATTGAAGCCCATAGGACATTGAATACTTACTGGACACTCACAGGTCAAGAAATGTTGTGAGTCAGCCTCGTAGCATCTCAAGCCCTGCTTTTTCTTTCTTTGATATTACTTCAGTCTGACATGTTATTCTGGCTTCACTGTCCCAAGGAAGGCCATGCTGGAAGGCATTAGAGTAGGCTTCAGTGAACCAGAATCTGTGTCACCCAACCAGATACGATGCACATGATTCATTAAATCAGAACACAGAAAATAACTTTACTTGATGCCATGATATAAATTTTTTATCAGCCATAAGAACAAATCTTTTGTCATTTCTCCTATTTCAAGTGTTCCAGTTGAATTGGTAATTTGTGAAACAGATCTTATTAATTTTTTAAAAAGTTCTTTTTATTTTATGAAATGTATAAATATTTTGGTCACTGACTGAGAAAATATTGTATCTTTGCACACCCACCATATCATATGTCTGCTAATAAACCCTCATAGACAACTGTTTGACCATACTTCTGCAATTCATTGTACTAAAAGAGAAGTAACTTGGTCAACAAGTCAGAAGCCTAAGCCAAGCAGTAATCTAAGGATCTTGCTTTCTAATCTAGTGACTGGAAGTATTGTCTTCATGAAGAGCTTCTTACTAAGGACATTTTATTATCTACTTTTTTTGTATTAAACAATTGCCTCATCTCCAAAATGTACAACAAAGTAGCAAAAAAAAAAAAAAAAAAAAGATGGAAAACGATAATTAAAATTTAAAAAGCTGCTACTGAAAATTAGTATGATTATTCCATATAAAACAAACAGTATTTGATTTTTTTTTATAGAGGCACCTATGTTGCACAGAATATTGAAAGCTGTGCTAGTCCATGTATGCACTGTTTGACTTCCCTAACTTTGGGTTTAATATAAAGAACCCTTATTTCAAGAGTTAGTGATCCAGAAAAAAATAGTAACTTAATTGAATTCAAGAAATAAATTGTACTTCTTAGGTATAACTTGTTTCACATGTGCAGTCTTGAAGTTGTAGCAGTAAACTCTGTGTTTGTCATTCGCTTTCTCTGTCACCAAGTCCTCACCCCTAAAGCTGAATCTAACGTTTTTCCTAGTCATTGACTTTTTTGCTCCCTGGAAAATTTTCCCTGGAAATCCTTTACATATCCTGTGGAAACTAATTCAATGATATAATTAAACTTTATATTCTTCATTCCTCCCATGTACAATTCACAGTTACTTTTTAGAAAAGACAGCATTGTCACTGTGGAAGCAAAAAGTAGCCATAATGGCCAGCATTAAAAGAGCTTTACAGTAACAAAGACACATACACTAAGTAAATAAACCAACTAAAACTTAGAAACAAGCAAACAAAGAAAGACATGCATAAATAAAAGGGGAAAAAACCTATTTGTAGAACAGTCATCATTTTTGCACCTATTGGTAGAACAGTCATCATTTTTGCATTATAGTTTACTGCCATTAAGAATGAATATAGGTGTATAAGAAAGCATCTCTTTTCTTTTTAATAAATGTTTAATTTGGAAAACTTTCCTCTCAGATTCCCAGTAGAATTGTTTTAGTCCTAGCATAAGCATTTCCAGAATTCATGTTAAAATTTTCTTTTAAGTTTTTATAGCTGAGAAAAAGATTGAGAGTGGTAGTTACAGTCATTGAAGAAGCTATGTCTGATTACATTATGTAGTAAGTACTGTTGTAACCATGTGCTAGTCCTGTATATGAATATTGTGAGGTTTTACTATTAGCATGAATGCATGAAAGACTGTTCTCACAATTCTTCATGTAAATGTCTTAGAAAAGGATACATACAGTATGGACATCTATGTATAATTATATTAAATGTTGTGATGATACCAGCCTCTTATTAAAAGGTTAGGGAATCAACATTTTGGCTAAAACCTGATAGTCCAGAAAAACAGAAAAGCTTTGATCTCGAATTTTCACATCAGATATGTGTTTTGTTTTGTTGGTTTAGTTTAGTTGTTTGAGACAGGATCTTGCTATGTAATTTGGGCTGACCTTGAACTCACTATGTAGCCCAGGCTGGCCTAGAACTCATAGAGATCCTCCTGCCTCAGCCTACTTAAATGTTAGAATTACAGGCATACCCCATCACACCTGGCCACATCAGTATTCTTAAAAGTAAATAAAATACTTCTATAGCAAATTATCTTTTTCTTTTGTCTTGTACTTTTATAGATGTAATAGCATTTTTTAGAAAATGGACCACAATATGTAATTTAGTACGAATTTTATACCAATATAATCTCACAAAGAAATTTGATCAAATAGTGTTAGTACAGTACACTTACTTCACTATGAAGGACTTAATGTCCCTTTAATCCTCTCATTTTTATTTAATGTTTTAAAGATTTTCAACAAGTCATTACACATATCTATAATAGTAATAAATGACCGACCCTGTATTTTTAAAAACTGATTAGAAATGCAGTAGTGACCCAGTAACTACTGAAATTTATTGCTTAAACCCTTAGTTATAATTTTGAGTCAAACTTTATCTATCAGACTTTATTCTTATATCAGGTTTTGTTTCTTAAAAAGGCATTTATGTTGAAATAGTAAACTTGAATCGTGTTTTCTTAAAAAAAGCCCTAATATCAGCCTCTCTTCACAATCTTTGATGCATGAATTTTGATAAAAATATATATGAATATATACAATTTATTTTCTATATTTCAGTAGTTATATGCTCTATTTCTAAAAATGTACTGATGTATTTATATATTTTGAAATATTTGTAAACCAATTTAGCAAACACTGTAACAGATTGCCTAAAAGTGCATTATATGGTAGAATGTTGTACTATATTATATACAGTGGTACCTTGATTGATGAATGCTTTGATTTACAAACTCTGCATCAGATGATGAACACAGTTGTGGTCATGTTTCCCTCATGAACACAAATGTGCCCATCTTTCCCTGTATTGTAGAGCAAACTTAAGTTCATAAACTGAAGTACCACTGTATTCCTTTTCATATTCCTCATAGTTCCCATCTTACCACTGTAGGAAACTTCATCATGTTAACAGTATTTAGAATACTTTCTCAGATTTTGACTGGTCATCTTGAGAAGATTTTGTAGACATAGCTCTGTCCCACCTCATCTTTCCTTCATCTTTCCTTTTAGTCATCCTGTTTTCTTTGATTACTGTCATTAAACCTACTCTTACAAGAGGAGACTCTACCAATGCTGACCAAAATCTGGGAAGGTTTCAGATAAAAACCAGCAGCCAAAGTGAAGTATCAAGAAACAGCTATCTGGCCCTTTATGTATAGCCTACTTGCCAGAAATGGGAATCAGGTTTGCTCAGGTGTATTTGTACTTAAGATGTAACTTTTTCACCAACATTTAATAGAGAACCTTTATAAATAGTCCACCACTTTGTATTCCTGTGGTTAATTTTAGCATAAGAATCGAATGTCGTCTCTTAGTGGGTAGCCAGAGAAAGAGTTGTGTGTTATGCTTCATGTGAATCATTTAGGTATCTAATGAAGGAGATGAATACTTAAACTTCGTATTACCCAGAAAAGATAGAAGATAATGGAACTTGTAATCTAAAGCAGATACCATATGTGCTATTTCTACTTTTATACCCCTGATGTTTTCTAATGGAAAGCTTTCAAGACCATCTTCAAAAATGTCTGCTTTCATTTTATTTATCTGAACTGGCTGTTTCCAGTGAACTGTGGCCCGCTTCCTAGGCAGAGACCATGCAATAGTTTATTCCCTCTAAAAGCTTTGAGTATTCCTGTTGTTCAGGGAGTAGCATGTAAGTCCTGGGAAATGGTATTTAAACAAGCTCAACTTGGCCATGATCGCTAAACAAAAGCCATCACTGGACATGGGCAGCCACTTTAGGTAACCATCATACAGATAAGATACTCTGGAGAGTCTCTTCCCTAGGGCTACCAGGCATGAATGGAAAGATGTGACTAAGGCTTTTTACCTCAGCCAGCTGTATTTTTAAAGCCTGCCCATCAGTAATTCCCTCATAAAAATTAGTGAGCACACCATGAAAAACAAAGAGATGGTTTTTTAGAAATGTATTGGTTCTCAGAAGTAGTCCCAGGTCTTTCTCTTTTAACATTTCAAATGTAGTTTTGGGTATTTGAGACCATATTAAAAGGTGACTGAATTTCTTTTTTTACATTTCCTTAGCATCATGGAATTTTTATACTTAATTGACTTTTATTGAAATACTTAATAAACGTTACCATTTAAAGTGTGGAGTTCACTGATATTTAGTATATCCACTGTTATGTAGTCATTAGTACTGTCTTTAACCTTTTTTTTTGGCACCAGGAATCAAACTCAGGGCCTTGTGCTTGCCAGGCAGGTGTTATGCCACTGAGCTACGTGACCAGCAAGCTGTTTTTCTTCAGCTCTATTTTTTTAGTACAAGCTAACAACAAAACATTTTTCTCACTCCAAAAGTTCTGTCATGTTAACTCAGTCCCAATTTCCCTTCTCCAAGCATCTAATAACCACTTAACCTTCTCTCTCCTTTTGTTTCCCTCTCCCCCACTGCTGTTTACCTATTCTGAAATTTCATTTAAATGGAATCATATAATACCAGACCTTTGTGTCTAGCTTCTTTCACTTAACATGTTTTCAAGGTTTTTGTTCATGTTATATAGCATCTAACTGTATTCTTTTTTACAAGTACATAATACTCCATTGTATAGATATACCACATTTGTCTATCCTCTCATCAGTTGGTGGTTATTTGGATTGTTTCCACTTTTTGGCTATTTTGGATATTGGTGCATAAATGTTCATGTATGGATCCTTTTGTGTCAACATGTTTTCAGTTCTTTTAATTCCGTTTCTAAGAATGTAATTGCTAATGTTAGCTGAAGCAATTACACAAGAGAAAGAAATTAAAGGAATAAAAATAGAAAAGGAAGATGTTAAACTATTGTTATTTGCAGATAACATAATACTGTACTTAAAAGACCCCAAAAACACCAAAAGACTTCTAGATTTAATATGCAAATTCAATAGTGTAACTAGTCACAAAGTCACTATTCAAAAATCAGTAGCCTTCCTGTACACGAATAACAAACTCACAGAAATCAGGGAAACAATACCTTTAACATTAGCATCCAGAAACATGAAATACTTAGGAATCAATCTAACAAAGGATGTAAAAGACCTCTACATTGAAAACTATAGTACTCTGGAAAAGGAGATTGAAGAGGATATTAGAAAATGGAGCAGTATCTCATGCTCGTGGGTAGGAAGAACCAATATAATGAAAAGGGCAATACTTATAAAACTGTTATACAGATTTAATGCAATCCCAATCAAAATTCCAATAGCACATCTCACATAATTAATAAAAACAATCCTAAAATTCATCTGGAATCAGAAGAAACCCAGAATAGCAAAGACAATCCTGGGCCATAAAAACAACAGGGGGCATCACAATCCCTGACTTGAAATTATACTGTAAAGCTACTGTTATTTCAAAAAAACAAAAAAACAAAAAAACAGTGTGGTACTGGCAAAAAAAAAAAAAAAAGACCTGAAGATGAGTGGAACAGATAAGAAGATACAGAAACAACTCCAGACACACCAAGCCACCTTATCTTTGACAGAGATGCCCAACACATCCACTAGAAGAAAAATAGCCTCTTTAATAAATGGTGCTGGACAAACTGGCTCTATACATGCTGGAGATTAAAATTGGACCCACATCTTTGACCATATACTAAGCTAAAATCAGAATGGATCAAACATCTTAATATTAAAGAATGGAATTCCTGGTTCACATGGTAACTCGTATTTAACCTTTTGAGGAACTACCAAACTTTTCCTTGCCAGAGCTATGCCATTTTACATTTCCACTTAGCAATATGAAAGCCCCAAAGATTAAATGTAAAAGTCATCTTACCTCACAGTTTTATGTAATTTTCTCTAGAACTTAAATAGTCTTATTCTAATTGATTTTTTCTTTTGTACTTTTATTAATACATGTTTGCAGTACAGTGATTATATTCATCATAGGAGACTGGTTCATGTACATAACACATTTCACTTCCTTTCTTTCCTCCCTCTTTCCATCTCACTTTCATTTTTCCAGCATCAGATTCATTTATTTTATATGACCTGATAAAATTAATTATCATATATATGTTAAAAACTAGATTAATAGGCCAAAGAACATACTAAACATGGAAAACAGTTGTACTAAGTCAAGTTACTTTTAGATACATTGTCCACACTGGATTACAATGCATTTTTTTTCTTTTTTTCCTATTATCTGTCATTCATATACATACATATATATATATATATATATATGAGAAACATATTTAAGCTTATATGTCTGAGTTACTTAGCATTTTGAGCTCAAAGCACATCCATTTTATTACAAATATCTCAGGTTTATCCTTTTTTTTCCAAAAGAAACAAAACACTGTCATCTTCCTTTTAAGATTCAAATGGTTTATTAGACAATAATTGAAAACCTTGGTTTAGAGCAAATTTCTACCATGACACTTTTTTATGGAATGAATGCAGTATGTTTTCTAATCCATCATTTCAAGGCCATTTCTACTCCTCAATTTGGAACGTACTTTTAACACTGCTTTTTTTGGAGGGGGAGGGAGTAAGGAAAAAGAGTAAAATAGAAAAACTTAAATTGATTAATACATTTATTGCTAAGTGATAATTTGTATTATTCTTTGAAAGAAGGAAAACCTTACTACCTCTTTCTTGTTTCTTTCATTATTAGTTTATTACTATGTTTCTTTTTTAACTTTAATTTTATTGGTACAATTTAAGTATACAGGATGACACATTCCTTATAAGGAAGTTGATCGTTTTTATGGCAGAATATTACTTCCATGTGTTTACTGCATTTTTCTGTCCATTTACCTACTGATGAACAAACATATCAGTTTCTTTATTCTTGAAATTTCTTTCATATGTACAAAATAGGTACATGAGCCCCACCCACCCAAAAAAAGAAAAGTTAAAATGTTACTATCTGTACAGTATCTTCTGGTGTTTCGTTTGGATTCCTCAGTATCCATAAAATTCCTTTTTTGTTTGCAATTTAGTATCTTATGATGTTTGCTATTATATTACTTTTTATCACTGGGAAGTTTAAATGTTTATTTACTCTTACAGTTTGGATATTAAATGTTCCCTTCAAAGGTTCATGTGTCAAAGGCTTCATCCCAAGTGCACTCAAAGGTGAGGCATGGTGAAATCAGTGGATAGTAAGCATGCTAACATCATTAGTGGATTAGTCTATTGATAGATTCATGATTTGATGGCATTACTTGGAAGATGTAGAAGCTTCAAGAGGTAGGTCCCATTGGAGGAAGTAGATCATCAGAATTGTACCCTGGAAGGGTGTGTCTTCTCTCTAGCTCCTTCCTTGCTTTTTCTTTCTGCCTTCTGTGTACTCTAAGGTGAACTGCTTTGCTGTACAACAGTCTCCTTGCTATGATGTTCTGCCTGACAGTGGGCCTAGAAGCAACAAAATCAGGTAACCAAGGACTAAAACCTGTCAAACTATGAGCCAGAATAAACCTTTCCTCCTTTGAGTTGTTTTCTCAAGTATTTTACCACAGTAACCGAAATCTAATGTACATACTTACTGAGGAGTAAACAATAATGATATTATGACAGGACACAATGCCGCATACCTGTAATTTCAGCTACAGAGGAGGCTGAGTCAAAGGATCTCAAGTTCAGGGCCATCTAGACAAGCAACGAAGAAACATTACTTGTTTAAATGTTTAATCAAAACCTAATGTCTACAATTTTTCCCTCAGAATTTCCAATATCTCCTATAATTTTATAATGCCGGGGTTTTTTAATAGTGTTTTTTTTTAAATTTGAGGAGAAAAAGAAAAAAACAGAAAAAGGGTACAAGTTATACAGAATTTCAGAAAAAATAAAAAATAGGAAATCACTAGTTAATAGGTTACATATTGTTATCTTAGAAATAGTTGTTCAACTTACAAAATTAAAGCATATAAAGTGGACATTCAAACTGAGACTGGAAACAGTTTTGTTCAATGATCCAACAAAACTCAGTAATATGGTTATCTATCTTATACACTTACATATATATGCAGTTATATTCTTTAGAGCACTTTCTTTTCCTTTCTTTTGTACAATGACAATTACACATTTTGGGTTTTACTCCCACAGTTCTTATTACTTTTTTTTTGAAGAGAGTAAAACCAAATGTGACATAACAGAACAGAGTCAGTCAAATCAAAAGGATGGACATAATAGATAATGTAAAAACAAAATACTAGGTCTTTTTTGTTCCTCTCTATTATTAAGGCCCTGGGATCTATCCCCTAGCATCCTCCCTGACACCCCCACACACAAAAAGATATACCCTCCAAGTTCACTGCAGTTGACCCATGCTTGATCACAGCCTCAGTTCAGGAGCCAATCCCTATATAATACTAATGTCATCTTCAGTGTGACTGAGCTCTCTGAGAGCAAGGAAGCATGAGATTTTGGCTGTTATCAGTAGCCTCCAGTTTTGCACTGTAAGACAGTGATAATCATTGTCAGTGCACACCCCTGGTTGATTTCACTTAGTCTTAGAGCATTGGGGGAAAAAAGCTGGAGCCACTAGTCTGAGAGAATTGCCATACAGTAATAAATATGGAAGAAAAAAAGCTTCTCTAGCACTCAGCTACAGAACTACTCCATAGACTTGTCACAAACAGGATTTAGATATACTTTTAATGCACTACAACCCAGCCTCTTAAGTAAACATACATGTACTGTGTCACTACAAAGTGATTTACAAAGAACTTGTTTCTTTTGAATTAGAAATATCAATGGAAAGAATCCTGGTTTCCTGATTAATAGGTAATCCTAAAGCATTGAATGCAAATATTATCAGGATATAAGCCATCTGTTTTAAGAAAAACATTTTATTTTATTTGGCTGTCACAGTCT